TGGATGTGGGGTTTGAACTTGGAACTTAATGCTTGCAAAGTAGGTGCTCTTCCACTCCATTCAGTTTGCTCTGTTTATTTTGGAGATGGGGGTCTTGTGAACTATGCTCAGGCTACCCTGAGCATCATCATCTCCATCATAGACAGTAAATTAGAGAGGATTACAGGCATAAGCCAGTGGCACCTGACACACTATTTAAACTTTGTATGTTAATGTCTTAGCTAGTCATGGCTTAAGTAGCTTTGAAGATCAACACTTCACAATTTCATCCATTGCACAGATGTAAGAACATGTGATTTACTTCCATCAATGAAAATCACCTTAATAATATTTCTTGAACACAATACTTGGTATCCAGCACAGCTAGGCTGGGAGTTTTTCAGATCTTTATCTTCTACTTTCCCTTGGATATGAGAATTTGGCAGGGATGGAAAGGGTATTTCAATGTAGCCCAGGATGACCTCAAACTCTGGAGTCCTGAAATCACAGGTGTGCATCACTGCTCCCAGAAAAACATTAGTCTTTATGAGGTTTCTCTCTTTCTTCCTTTTCCTAGAAGCCAGAAACAGAAGCCATCACACAGACAACACTGCAGCTCAGATTTCTCCTGCCAAATATCCTCCTTCATCACTTGGAAGTTCTCCACTCCATAGTTCTGGGACACAAAAATCATTCAGAAAATTCTTTGTCTCATGGTAATAAGGATGGCAATTCCATCCCAATTTACAAAAGACCTCCTCACTTTTGAGGCCTCCTGGGAGCAGCCTATGCTGTCTGTGTCTCTACCAACATTCTATTCAAAGCCACTTATGTACGAGGACTCAGTCTTTCCTGACAGCTGTTCTTCCCAGGCCCTCATCAGAATTGCCCTTCCTGTTTCATTCAGAGAAAAACGCTTCTCCCATAATCATATCAAAACTGCTCCCACATCTCTCCATAACCCAGTTCCAAAGCCACTGCCACGTCACAGTACTTGTTCTAGCAACACCCCACTTTTCTAAAACTCTGATTTTGTTAGTCCATATTGTGTGTATGTAATAGAATATCCAAGTTTGGTAATTTAGGGAAAAAAATTAGCTAGAAGTGAGGATCAAGTAGCAGAACACTTAACTGGCAACCCCAAGACCCAAGTTAAAGTCACAGTACTGAAAAAATAAAAACAAAACAAAATGAAGAAAGTCCTAGAAATTTCTTCTCTAATAGTTTCAGGTTGGGGAAGTCCAGGATCAGGGCATCATCACTTCAAGGGGTCTTCTTGCTCACTCCTCACCTCAGAATGAGGTTGTACATGAGAACTCAGGCTCACTACCACAAGCCCTGTGTACATAAGGGCCAGACCTCAGCACCTAAATACTTCTCAGAAGTTCCCAGCTCTCAACACCGTTTGTAAGCTATTAATGTACAATACAGAATATGTGTCTGAGAAGCAAAGTCAGGCATTACTAAGGCAAAAATGCATCACTCAAAATGGGTTTCAGATTGGAAACTCATGTCACACTTTCAACCTTCTCACTCTGTGGGATTTATAATTAACTATTCCCTAGTTCTAGCATAATGTATGCTTGCCCATAAGGAGCCATGTAGACTCAGTGCTGAAAAAAGAGCAATGATTCATGGTAGGTTAAAGATGACTCATTCACAAAGAGCTATGAAAAAGGGATGCTTGTACCACATGCTCACGTTCTGACCCTGTGGTTTTTAGAATTACTAAGATTTGTTTCTTTCTCATTCTGTATACAGGCCCAAAAATGAGCAGTGGAGTGAACAATGCTATAGTTCAGCAAGACTTTGTTGATTCTTTCTATAATCTTACTTTTTCTTTTCTTTTTTTTTTTTTTTTTTTTGTGGCACTGGGGTTTGAACTCAAGGACCCATGCTTGCTAAGCAGGTGCTCTTAACCACTTGAGCCACTCAACCAGCCCTAATATTACTCTTAAATTACTTCTGCAGTTCAATTGGGCAAATAGCTTTTGTCCACATGCCAAATTCTTGGTGATAGTTGATGATGGCATATTTATGCCCATAACAAATCTTATTGAATACCATCAAGAATGAGAACAAATGGGTGTTCAAGACTTTTGGATAGGTCATGTTCATTGTGGTGCCACTGGCATTATGAATAAAATCAGCAAATACAATCCTTCCTATGAAATGTACCATCCACCAACTTACCCAGACTATGGGGCCAGCACTACCTATGTCATCTCCAGTGACATAGTAGCCAAAGTATATGAGGTGTCACAGATGCAGAATTCTAGTCTTTACATAGATGATGGGTTCATGGGCCCCAATAAAATGGAGGTAGTACCACAGTACCATGTGTTTCTTTTTTCCTTGGGAATGTAAAGATCCTTACCATCCCTGTATCAATGAAAAAATGGTGACATCTTATGGATCTTCAGCACCTTTGGAAGGATGCTACAGATTCTAACGTAAAAAGTATTTCAAAGGAGTGTCTGTTCAAATAAACTGTAGGGTCATTAAGACAGTTCTCCTCTGCAAATTGACCTACAAGAACACATATCCTTACAGGGCTGCATTTGTCTAATGGGACTGGAACTCTGTGATGTTTGTATGACACTGAGCCAAATCTGCATGAAAAACCTCTAAATGTTTGTCTATACACTAAGTAAAAATGAATATGAAAGACAAAGACCTTCTGAAAGCCCAATCTATCAAAATATTTCATTGATCATGGAAGCTATGCAATGTAACATCTAATTCATGGCCGAAATTCATGTGAAGAAATTCATACTTTTAAATTTATGATATTATGAGGGAAATCACAAATAATGCAAAACTCTACCTCTCATTTAATGCCTCGGATATATTTGAGGTGCGGACAAATTATTAAGAAACCCTGGTGTTACAATAATAACTTTTGGAAAACGTAAAGGAAAGACATAGTACAGCATTTCAAAGAAAAAAATGTAACTTTAGTCCAGGTATTCCAGCTTGTTTTTTCTAAAGAGCATTTGGTGGAGGTACTGGGGACGGGAAAGCATTGCCAGAGGACCAAGTACATGAATATGGTAAAGTCTCTCGTCTTAGGAGGGAGAGCAAGAAACTATCTGCACTTTCATTATCAACAGCTGAATCATTAATGGTCACATCCATGTAACTGTTTACCTAGATAGTATTGGCATCACGTAAAATATACATGATTGTGTCTTTTTCTCAAAGTTGAATGTGAAATTTGAAAAAAAGTCATTAGCTCTGCTGTAACAGGAATGTAATATGTTTCTCCTAATAGAAAATGACAGAAAACATGGGCTGTTTGTTGTTCACAGGCTCCTTCTCTAGAGAGAAATTATTGTTCATTCCACTAACAAGCCAACTTTAATTTCATGAGTTTTAAATTGGATTTTAAATATGAAATACTGTTTTGTATTTAAGGTAGTTGCTTGAAAATAATTTGCAGAGAGGAATATGATAATGAAGGAGACATCAAAAGGAAAGATAGGGCTGGGATGTACCTCCGTCTCACAGCAATACAGCACTCACCTAGACAGGCCCAGACACACAGAAAACCAAGAAGTCTCTTTTCTCAGTAATTTATACAATATTATTATTTAAATAATTGTACTCATTACTAAAACTAACCCATCCCTTTCCAACATCATAAACCACAGTGTTTTGTTCCAAGTTTAGAGTTTTAAACTTAAGAGTATTAAATGAAAGTTGCAGTGTCTAAAACAATCTATTCTTGACTCAAATAGCTATCATGACTACAGTGTCAAACATTTAAAATGGAGCTATTTTTACAATAGATTCACGATTTTAGATCATTATAAAATTTGTATCACTTTTTAAAACTGTAGAGAACAAAGGACTTTTGATAAAGCAGGCTTATAAATAATCTTCATTAGTTGATTCTTGAATACCTATTTGCCTTCAGGCTGTCTATACACTGTGTTCTACTCTTGTTAAAATTTGCCACTGGTTGAAAACATCAGTAACTCTTGGGCATCAAAATGATCTTGTTTAAAATAATATTTTTGTGAAGTTATTTCTTAATAGAATTCTCTGGATCTGTGTTCATCTTTTCTATTTTTGCTTAGAATAGAATGAAATAGGTTTGAGTTGGAAGGAAATAAAATGGCACTTCCTGTTTTTGTAAGAAAGGAGTTGCCATATGATTTTTCAGCAGAATTAAAGTACTGAGAAGAGCATTTGTAATTAGAAGTGTCCCAGCCTTTTGAAAAGGAAGGAAAAGCCTTTTGTTGCTCTACTGTAGGGCTACCTTTAAAAAAAAAAAAAAAAAAGTCAACAAAGGAAGGAAAAACAGCCTGGAGAGTCACTTGAGTAAAAGATGGCTGTACATAGGGTTGATTAATTTAACAGCAAAATGTTAAGTATTTATATTATTTGACTTTTGCTCTAGTATGCAAAAGTAATTAGTGGGTTTAAATAAAAACTGTATTTCTAACAAACAATTTTAAAATTCATAAGGTAAAAAGAAATACCCACACAAAAAAGTGATGGTGACTGGCTCAAATGTTCAAGCACCTGTCCAGCAAGTGTAAGGCCCAGACTTCAAGTCCCAGTATCATCAACAAAAAAAAAAAAAAAGAAAGAAAGAAAAAGAAAAAACTTGCTCCTTGTGTAACTGAGCCCATCCTTAGGGAATAACTGAAAGACAAAAATTGGATGTTTGAACTTGTCTTCTTATAAACAATTACTAATGAAAAACTAGAGCAGACTCAGGAATGATCATTCACTATGCCCACCAATAAATATTATAGCTTTACTTGGGAATGTCAACAGATAAAAGAGTAATGTTTTCCAGCATAATAATAATGGTATATGAGTTATAATATTAATCATGCAAATTTCATGAAACCAAGTAATATTGTTCTTAATGATTAAAACTATAGTGAACTAAAATTCCACTCTCTGATTTGTTGGTAATAGATCAGGGAACCCATCAGAAGACATACACAATGATTCCATGTATGTTTATATTCTCATTACTTCTTAGTATGAAACAAATGACTTACTGAAACAATTGACTTTGCTTCTTCAGATCTCATCACTGTACCCACTCAGGTTCCAAACAAGGAAACCACCGTCTTGCACTCAAATCCTGAAGGAAATTTCTAGAATATTTAAGTCAAGTTGTATTTTATATAAATGAGAGTCTACATAGGAAAAAGGAGGCAGCCGCCAAAGGTGGCTGCTTCACTTACTTTACACAGGAGAATCCACATTCACAAGGTTAAAAACATGCTAATTCTTACACACAAGTCTCTTCTGAAGAGGCTGAGACATTATCTCCAAAAGGCTTGTGACAACCAAAGTCACCCCATTCCCAAGATTTCCAGGGAAGTTAGCATTCCCCTGCCTGAAACTGGGACAAAGACCAAATAGTTTATGTACTACACATCCACACAAAGCCTTTTCTCCACATGGAAGAACCCAATAGTGTCCTGTCACACTGCCCTTGGCTTTCTCAATTAGCACAGATTACACTCTGAGGACACTAACCCAGTGTCTGAAAAATAAAGAACTATGTCCATTTCTACACCAATGTTGTTATGCTGGTAAACAGTGGGATTAAAGAAGAGTTCTCCCTCATATGCAGATTATAGTTAAAACAAATGCAGTAATATTACTGGATATGGATCACACACTAAGGAGAGAACACATACAGGACAAATAGGGAAAGGGAAGGAAACCTAAAACTTGAAAGTGTTAGATGTGCCCACTGCACAGGAGTGAACAAAGTAATCTGAAACTGGCAGAGGCCACTATGGGAAGGTGACCTGGAAGTAGTGAAGAGGTCTGGTAAAGATGAACCCAGGCAGGGTGTAATACACATGTGCATGGAAGCAATGCTAGGAATCTCTCTGTATAGCTATCTTTATCTCAAACTAGCAAAAATGCTGTAAGTTTCATATTATCTCTGCTTTCTCTTCAACAAAATTGGAGAATAGGACAGAACAGGTTCTGCCTGGAAGCAAGGGGTACAGGGAGGAGAGGAAAGGGGGGAAGAGGTGGCCCAAACAATGTATATACATATGAACAAATGTATAAACAAACAAAACAACTCTCACTGCAGTCAGGCAATTGTGGCTCATGCCTATAACCCTAGCTTCTTAGGAGGCAGAGATCAGAAGGCTCACAGCCAGCCTGGCCAAATCATTGACCATATGCTATCACCACACTGTTTCTAATGGACCCTGCAGGACAGTGTCCGCCCTAGTTCTGGCTTACATTTAATGATCCTAGATGGTCCCCAGTGTCCTTCTAAGTCTTTCTTCTGTGAGACAAGAACAACTGGCTCCCAGTGTCTGATCTGACCTTGGCTACCACATCCCTGCTGCTGCACCCTGTTCAAAGAGGTCCCTCATATCCAACCCATAGCCTTTCCTTTGTAAAACCCGGTCTAGAAACGGTGGAGCACAGTTAATGTGACGTCATAGAGGGTAGCGGTGTCCCCGCCCCTCCCCCTCTAGCCACTAGGCACAGTGACCGTCCTTCTCAGAGTTTTGGTGATGGGGTGCCCGGCCAGCGTCACAAACATGGCCTGGTGACAGGTCGTGGGGTTCACACGACCCTTCCCAACCTAAAGACTCAGGGAAGCGGGCGCCAGCGAGGAGACACGGGGACCCCAACCCCGCGGAACACCTCCTCCCATGCAGGCGCAGGAGTCGCCATGACCGCCGTCTCCAAACGCCAGACCCGGCTCCGGCCCAGCCCCACCCTGCGGCCCAGAGGAGCGAGGACGAGCAGAGCCGGGGGAGGACGCACAGCACACAGGGGCCACCGCAGCATCTGGCCGGTCCCCGCCGCGGCTCTGCCATCCCGGCTGAAATCTCACCATTTCCCGAGACACCCGGCGTCGTCCTTAGGCTCCTGCAGTCAGGAGACACAGAGCGGCCAAGGCTGGGAAACCTGGGGCTTCTCCCGGCTTACACGCTGCGATCAAGTATGGCGGTTCCTGAAAGGAAGGCAGTGCTTTGGGCAGCGGGGGGGAGGGGGGGGTACGTCCTAAGATCCGCGCTTCTTATTGGACAGTTCTTACGCACTCCATTCTGATTGGATAATGATCCAGGCCCCGCCCCTTGACGACGGGGTGAGAGGAGGGCTTTTCTGCCAGGTTCTAAGAACACAGAGGAACATTCCTCCCACCGCTCCCGCGGTCTAGGCTTCCTCCCCTTGGGCGAACCTGGCCCCTTGGCTCTAAGTGTGTTGAGCAGAACCAGTCCCGACTTCCAGACCAGACACCTGCTTCTCCCCACGCCTCCTGAACATCTTACGCTGTGCTTGCAGATCGGTACTTTTATCAGTTTCCTCTCGCTCCGTTAGCTGTGGTTTCCACTTGAGTGGAGACTTGGTTAGTGTCCATCACTTCTTCAAGGAGGTTTCACTGCGCTATGATCAGAGGAGCACAGAATGTGCTTTCACCTCTCTCACTCCCTCTACTCCTCCTCACCATCCCTCCCTTCTCCCCCATTTTAGAATGAATGTGCTTCATTTTGCTATTTTCATGAATACATATAATGACTTGTTCATATTCCCCTGTCATCAAATTCCCCTTTCTCTGCACCTTTCCCAATGTTTCCTGCCCCCAAACAGGGCCGCTTGTAAAAATTCTAGAAAATAAGCACGATATAAACCTGCACCCAGCCTTGGTGGCTCATGCCTGCACTCCTAGCTACTCAGGAGGCATGAAATTTTCCTCAGTGTTTTGTTTTGTTTTCAAATGATCTCAGGTGTGTTTTTTTTCCTTATGTTGTCATAATGGCATTTGAATTTAGAGCCTTGTGTTTCCTAGGCAAGTTCCCTCACTGCTTCAATGACATAGGCACAAAACAAGGACTTTTTTGTGTGTTTTGGTACTTGGACTTGAACTCAGGGCTGAAACCTTGAGCCACTGCAGCAGCCCTTTTTTTGTGATGGGTTTTTTTTGAGATATGCTCTCCTGAATTACTTGCCTGGGCTGGCTTCAAAACATAATCCTCCTAATGTCTGTCTCCTGACTAGGGAGAGTACAGCCATAAGCCACTTTTGCCAGCTAACAATGATTTTTTTCAAATTAAAATACATCATGATGTGTGACTTGAATCTGCAACATACCAATATTTGCCATGTTTGTTGAGATATGACCTAGAAAACACTCTATTATACAAGCTAAATAATTGAGTTGTAAGGCTGAAAACAAGATGCTAGGCACTCCATGGCTGGCAAGGAATCAGAACTGAATCAATCACATGCATGAAAAATTTATGAAACTAAGGGAAGGGACAGTGCTGACACAAGAGATGCCCTCACCTTGTTTTATTTCTGTATTACATGATTGATCATCTCAAGCTGGCCGATTCTCCTCTCTTTTCTTTTCATGTTTGTGCTTAAGTTTTTGAGCTAGCACATTAACAATATGAGAAGATTTCATTGGGATAATTTCCTACATGCCTACAATGGCTTGAGGTACTTTGAATCAATTTTGGTACTGGGTGATCTAGTTCCAAAATTCTACACATAATCAGTTTTCAAACACCATTTGTTGTAGAGACTGTCTTTGTGCCATCTTCTTTCACACTTTCCGTAAAGTAGATCATTTTAGGTCTTCCTTGTCTGCTAGTATATTGGTTTCTTCCTTTACATGTGTCCCTAGTACTGTGTTCTCTGAACTCTATAAATTTTGGTAAGATGTGTGTTCATTTTTTTGTGTGTTCTCATACCTTTTTTCTAGCAGCAGTAGGGTTAATCTCAGAGCCTCACGCTTCCAAGGTTACCCCTTGAGCTATTCCACCAGCATGTAATGAATTTCTCAGGGGGCATCTCTTTAGCATGAGCATTATGAATAATTTTCTGCTTTAATCTTCACTTGTTTGAAGGTTTTCCTACTGTTCAATTCCAGTTATATTTTAGTATTGTCTGAGATAATACTTCTTGTGATTTTTATTCTTTTAGATTTTTCAAGGTGTGTTTTGCAGCTCAGAGTATGGTCTGTGGGTGAAGTTTGCTCTCATTTATGAGATGGGGTCCCCATCTCCAAGTCTCATACTCAAGACCTGGAAGCATACCTGTAGTCAAATATAATAGTTCTAAGTGGTGGATATGGGTGTTAAAATGGGGAAGGGTCTGTCCTGGCCCATTCAAATCACAAGGACAATAGGTGTGCTTTAGAATTTCTCTTTGATTACTTTCTACCCATCCAAGGATCCTTACAGCTTCTTAACATCTCAAAGAGGACAGCAGAAGCAGGAAGCTCCTGTGTGCCTGTTCCTGTCATGTAGCATCTAAAATGAGATGGGAGGAGGCAAGCTTCTCTCACTCTCCAGCCTTTACTTCCTTGTTCCAGTGGCAGAATCTGGCCCATTAAATATTGATTAAAATACTACAATTTTCCAGTCTCCTCATCTGTCTGTCCTGCATCAATTTCATTTTTCATTTTTTAAGCAACTTCTACAGTGATTTCCATTGTATTCCAGTAATTTCCATTTCCAGCACCATCACCTAATTCAAAATTCAAAATATAGGTGGACACCAGTGGCTCTAACCTGTAATCCTAGCTACTCAGGATGCAGAGATCAGGAGGATCTCAGTTCCATGCCAGCATGGGCAATAGATTTCAAGACCCTATCTTGAAAACAAACCCAGTCAGGTGCTAGTGGCCCATACCTGCAATGATAGCTATTTAGGGGGCAGAGATCAGGGGTATCATGGTTCAAAGCCAGCCTGGTGAAATAGTTCTTTGAGACCCTACCTCAAATAGTTTTTCGATACTGTGTTTTGAAAAACCCTTCACAGAGATGCTAGAGCCATCTTGGCAGAGGTGAAGAACCAGGGAGAGTTGAAACTTTGGCACTGTGAACCCCTAGCCCTGTGGATGACTTCTCCACACCATGATACACTGAGAGAACAGGCGGGCTGCCACCTCCACACCGCCACCAGCTTGGGAGACCTTCAGTGACCAAATAGATGACTGCCTAGCATTATTCAGTATCCCTCAGCCACCCCTGGGATAAACCAGCACAACCCCCCTCAAAAAAAAAACCGAATAAACAATGGAACTGAAAACTATCATACAGTAGAGGGGGCAGGGGTTGCTGAAAGTGCACTGGAAAAGGGGAGAGGAGCAAGGAGATGAACTCACGCAGGAACCATCAGTAAACAAATAGCAGGAGGGCCAATAGCCACTGGTGGTAGGCCATTGACTGACGTAGGGAAGGAGCAAAGGCAGCAGACTACAGGGCCCAGTCCCTGGGCACCCACAGTCAGAAGGCTCTGCAGCATTGAGGAACAAACAGCAAACCATCACTACATGCTGACAGGGGCAGCCAGCTGATGGATCACTGACTTTGTCCTTGCCCCAGGGAAAAGGGGCAAGACAAAGACACAAGCCACTAGTAAACAAGCACAGAGGTAAGCCAACTCCAAAGCAGGACAACTAGACTGCAGAGCTGCCACACTTCACTGGGGGAGAAGCTGACCAATCAGCAGCTTCTGAAAGACAGAAAAAAAAAACACTACCCATAGGCCAACTACCTGGGTACCAGGACTGGATACATAAACTAAGACTGAAATTCTATTGATCCTGAACCTGGAGTTTTTGTTTGTTTGTTTGTTTCTTGTCTGTTTGCTCATCTCTCCTCATTGATTTCTTTGTTTGTTTGATGTTTTTTGTTTTATCAGTTTGAATTAATTAATACTAAATTACACCCAAACCAGGGACAAAAACATCACACACACAATTAGCTAAAAACCCAATACAGCCACAAATAAAATTTAACTAAGGGAAAGAAAACAGGTGACTGAAACCACCAACTAGCCTATCAAGAACAGTTACACAATACCAACAGGAATGATGGGAAGAAGAAAAATGGATGGAAACCATTCCTCCAAAAACAATAATAATTTAATACAGGATTCAGAGGAAAATGAAGAAAATGGAAACCCAGTTCTGGACTCCAACAAAACAAAGATAAATGATGCCAAGAAACCCAACGATGTCCACAAGAACACCTTTAAAGAAGATATCCTGGAAGAAATCACTGAGAATTTCTTGGAGATAATACTAGACATGGTTAACCAAAGTGTACAAGAGGCACTCAAGAAATTTCAAGACACCAAAAATAAAGAATACAACAAGACACAGGAACAAATAAATGAAATCATAGGAGCCCTAAATAAACACCAAAGTGAAACAGAGAACACTATAAATAGGGAGATAGATGAATTAAGGATGAAAATAGACAATATTAATGAGGAAGTGACCCATGACATGGAAAACCTCAGAAAAAAGAATGACTCAGAAACACAAAACACAATGGAAGGCCACTCCAGCAGACTAGAACAAGTGAAAGACAGAATCTCAGAACTTGAAGATCAAATGGAAATTCAAGGAAAAACTGAAGAGCTATTAATCAAACAACTCAAGACCTGTGAAAGGAATATGCAAGAACTCACCAACTCCTTCAAAAGACCAAACCTGAGAATCATGGGCATTGAAGAAGAAGAAGAGGTGCAGCAAAAGAAATTCATACTATATTCAACAAAATAATAACAGAAAAATTTCCATATCTAGAGAAAACTACACACATTCAGGTACAGGAATCCTCCAGGACACAAAACAGACTTGACCAAATTAGAACTACCCCATGACATATTATCATTAAAATAACAAACACAGAGAATAGAGAAAGAATATTGAAGGCCATAAGAGAGAAAAAACAAATAACTTATAAAGGAAAACCCATCAAAATCACAGCAGATTTCTCAATGGAAACCTTAAAAGCAAGAAAAGCATGGAGTGAGGTATTCTGGGCACTGAATGAAAATAACTTCAACCCTAGGATACTCTACCCAGCAAAACTATCATTCAAAATAAATGAGCAATAAAAGTCTTCCATGATAAGCAGAAATAAACAATATATGACCACCAAGCCACCACACAAAAGATACTTCAAGGAAT